GTAGTGTGAATAATTTTCACCTTGCTAAAAATGGAAGGATTTGGATTAAGTGGAATCAAGACTTAATGGATTTTACTATTATTAACAGGGATGACAATTTATCCATGGTCTAGTTTATGTCTCTTCTTCTATTAATTTCTATGTTACTGCTATAAATACTGATAATAATGCTTATACTAGGGAAAATATTTAAGAGTTTTATTGGCAGTATTGTTGATAACATAAATTCTCCTTGAAACATTTTTGGTGACTTTAATTGTATTCTTAGAATTAAAGAAAAAGTGGGGGATGTTCCTCCTCTGACTAGTAAACTCTCTGATATTAATAATTGCATTTTAAATTATGGTTTTATTGAGCTTCAAAATTCTGACTATTCTTTCAGTTGATTTAATAATCAACTGAATAACCCTATAATATATCTTCTTGACAGAGTTTTTTGTAATGCTCAATGTTTTAATTCTTTCCCTCTTTCTTATTATAAAGTTTTAAATGCTTATTCTTCTTATTATCATCCTATTTTATTTTCTCTTGATTGCTCTTATAATGTGCAAAGTAAGTTTTTATATAAAACTTATTGGAGTTTATGTCCAGATTTTTTTAACATTGTTGATAATGCTTGGAAGCTTTCTGTGAAAGTTGATCCTATTTTTTCTTTTCATAATAAGCTTCGTAATGTTAAGATGGCTCTTAAGAATTGGCATTGAAATTCTTCTAATGTTTTATCTTATATTTATGATCTTAAGGATCAGCAGAATAAGATTATGTTTCAGTATGAAAATTTTCCTCTTTCTAATGTTCTTTTGGAACAAGTTTCTTCTATCCAAAAGAATATTTCTAATGCTAATTTTTGTGAGTTTAAATGGGCCAAGCAAGGAGCTAAGTGCTTTTGGTTGTCTAAGGGTAAAGATGATGTTAATTTCCTCTATCAAAAAGCTAGAATTCGATGTAATTCTAATTTTATAAAAGAAAATTTTTGTTGATGGCAACTCTATTCATAATCATGGTGATATTATTAGGGAAGCTATTAATTTTAACTCTGATCTGCTTAATGGCCCAATTTCTAATGATCATCGTTTGGGAAACAATTTTCTAAATAGTAATTTTGTCTCTGATGATATACTTCTTTTTTGAATTAAAGTTTTTTTAAATGAAGATGTTAAAAAAGCTTTATTCTCTTAGCTCTAATAAAGCCTCTGGTCGGGTGGTTTTTCTGTTAAATTCTTTAAAGATCCTTGGGATATTATTGAAAGTGATTGTATTGCTATCATTAATCATATTTTTATCGCATCCAAACTTTCTCATAGAGTGAAGCATTCTGCTATTGTTTTAATTCGTAAAAGTACCAATGCAAAATCCTTAACTGATTTTCGTCTCATCCCTTTGTAATACATTTTACAAAATTATTGCTATTTTATTAACTGATAGACTTAAAATAATTCTTCCTAAGATTATTCATCTTGCCCAGGCCTCATTTATTAGTGGTCATGATATAGCGGATAATATTATTTTAGCAAATGAATTGCTTTATGGTTTTAATTCTTCTAGTGGTATTAAGAAATTTTGTGCAAAAATTGACATACATAAAGATTTTGACAAAGTTAACAGAGACTTTTTATATTTTAGACTGCACCGCATTGGTATTCCTATTAGATTTGTTAAATGGATTGTAGCTTGTACTTCTAATGTCAACTTTTCTATTATTATAAATAATGATTTAAAAAACTAATTTTTCTTCTTCAATTGGTTCAAGATAAGGTTGTCATTTATCTCCTTATCTTTTTGCCATTACTATAGATTCTCTTTCTCTTCTATTTCATAAGAGCTTGGCTAGGAATGATTATATTAATCATCTGAATTATGCAAATGATATTCTTATTAATTTTATTAGCAATGCTCTTAAAATTTTTTTCTAAAGCTACTAATCTTCATATAATCTTTTCTAAATCTGTCATTGTTTTTTCAAACAATGTGGATAGTAATGCTCAAACATTTCTTAGTAGTTTAATGTGTTTTTCTATCAAACCTTTACCTTAGACTACCTTGGTGTTACTATCAAACCTTCTAAGCTTGTTATTTATGACTGTCATAACTTGATTGATAGAATTAATTCTTGGCATGCTGGTCGGAAAAAAAAAGTTATTATATGTTGCTGGCATATTACAACTTCTTAAATTTACTATTGGAGCTATCTTTATTATTGGTTTCGTTCTTCTTTACTGCCTAAAGGTTTAACAAAAAAAAATTCTTCTTTAATTTCCAAATCTTTCTTAACATTGATGATAGCAAGAAACTACATATCATTTCTTGGAATAAATTAAATATGCCTATGAAAAATGGTGGTTTAGGTCTTCCTGCTTTTGATTATATACACTTGATGTGTAAAATCAAAATCATTTGAAAATACTATAATTGTCATTTTTATTTGAGCAATTGATTCTTTAATCATTATGATACTTTGTGGCAGAAGGATTCTTCTACGTCTTCTCTTTTTTCGAAAGAACTGGTTAGTATTGCTACTAAATTCAGGTATTCTCTAAGTTTTCATGTTACTAATAATTGCAATATGTTTTGTTATTTTGATCCTTGGCTTGAGGGGGTTTCTCTTATGGAGAAATTTGGTGTTTCTTTTTTTAATTGATTTAAGTTCCCTCTCAATTTTATACTTAAAGATATTGTTTACAATAATTATTGGAATTGACCTCTTAATCAACAAGCTCCTAGTTATTGTATTGAGGCTATCTGTAGGACTCCTATTTCAAATGATCTTGTTTGTGCTTGGAATAGGTTTATCACCTATTCTCATAAATTTTTTTTTTTATGCCTACCCTCAGTTAAGTTGGTTTAAGCTTGTCTGATTTAAAGGTTTTACTTTAAAGTATTCTATTCAAGTTTGAAAGATTATTATTAAAGGACTAAAAACTTGCAATATTTTAACTTTAAGAGGTAAACATAATAATTTAAACTGCGTTTTATATTTAAATGATTTTGAATCTCTTGATCATCTCTTTTTGAATGTCCTTTTTCACATTTACTTCTCAGTATTTCTATTAGTAATTCTTTCAATATGCCTTGTAATATCTTGCAAGTTATTTGTCATTCTGATACTTTATCTTGCAAAATTTTTAAACGGTTTTATCCCTTGGTTTTACAAGTGATTGCCTATGTGATTTGGTATGAGAGAAATGCTAGGATTTTCAAGAATAGAAAATCAACTGTTGATTATTATAATAGCAGGAAATGGAAATTAAAAAATTCATTTCACTCTAACATTGTTCAATTTTATAAACATCAATTGGTGAATTTTTTTTTCTGGTTTTCTGCTGGTATGTTCTCTTGTGTCTCTGGTTTTAGTAGTTTTTGGTTGTCTGATTTGTCTCTGAAGACTTGGCTTGAATTTGTGATCACCTGATCTTGGTTGAATCTTGTGTTTTTGGTTTTGTTTTATTAAGATTCAACCATGTGTTGAATATATTCTTATATATTTAATGCGTTATGATGGAATTTTAATAATTATATGTAGAACCTTTTGTATCTTGTGGATTTCTTAAGACTTGGCTTGAATTTGTCTTTTACTTGGTCTTAACTGAATCATGTGATTTGGTTTTGTTTTATTAAAATTCAACCATGTGTGGAATATATTCTTATATATTTAATGTTTTCGGATGAAATTTTAATAATCTTATGTTGAGATTTTCGTATCTCGTGAATCCTTTATATAGTTTTAGGATGTGTTGCTTTCTGGAACTCATTGGTGGTTTGGCTTCACTTAACCTGTGTTTTTGGCTTTTGATTTTTTTCTTCTATCTGATCTAAGATTATGGTTGTGATTGGTATATTTTATTTTTATTGTCGGATCTTGGCTATTTGTTGTGATTGGTAGTGATCTATGATGATATCCAACATACATTAAAATTCAGCCATGTATTGAATATATTTTTATATATTTAATAAGTTAAGATGAAATTTTAATATTTATTTGCAAGTAAGTTCTGAGATCAACTATTTTTTTTTTAAATTATTTGTTTGTTACTTTCTTCTTTTTTCTAATTTAATTCATTTTATTTCGATTCTTGTTTTGGTTATGTTGCTTTTGTTTGTCTTTTTTGCACGTCTCTCATATGATTGTGGATCCTCTAAAGATCTAGGATTGGTTGTGGTATAGAGCTCAAGTGTGGCTCAGCTGTTTTTAGTTTTTTCTTTTCATTTTTGTTTGGTTGCGTTTTTTTAGGGTTTCTTTTCTTTATCTATATTGTATTTTGTTAGCTTTTTGTAACTCTTTCCTGTTTTCGAAGAAAGTTGAGCTAGGCCTCACATTTTCTATAATAAAAAAAAAAGAAAAAAGTATAATTGTAAGAGGAGAAAGAGGTTTCTAAGACTGTTAGCCAATTCCCTACCTTAACAATAACCAATATGTCATCAAAAGTAAGCAGCTCCATTTTGGCATCAAAATAGAAAGGAAAGAAGAATCCGTCTTGTGGTTGGATGGTCGTCCTCATCATTAGTATTTCATTCATTAATTTTCATCGAGATCTCATGAAACTCAATTTCCTTACCACAAATTGTGTAGAGATTCCTTCTATTCTTTTGAGTTATTGATGCATACAATTGAGCTATTTGCTCCATCTTATTATCTAATTAGACTCATATACCCTCTGATTGTTTATGGTTGTTTGGGTTTTAACCACTTTTGATTTTAGGATGAGAACTGTGCTCTGATGCAATAATGATCCATAACCCCTTTGGATTGTATTATGACAGAAGCCATCCAATTTGTTTCATAGCCGTATAGATAAGCCGTCAAACATTTCATGTTTTATGTTCTACTATTATGCAAAATTCATTCAAGTTATAGTTAAAAAAACAACTCTTTTTAGCTCGGTAACTATAGAAGAACAAAAACTAACACCTGAACGAAATCCAGCCGGAAAACATCACCTAAATAAATTTTCTTTATTTTTTTTAAAACAGCAAAGCTACAAAGAATATAACAAAAGACTTACAGCAACTCCTCCAACGTAATCGACCAGAGCAAATACACATAAATTTCTGGGTATGAATGTTATAACCACACTGCCCATGGCTCGCCCTGCACTCCGAGCAATCTGGCGCAGACCAATCGAGAAGAAATCCAGACGCCAGAAGCTTACCATAGTCTTCAACATTAGCTCCTGGAAAACTCAACACTGGTCTCACCGCCGTGTGACATGAGCCGAAGACACCGTCATCATTCGGCGTCCCATAGGCTCCCCCCAGAAAAATAAGGCTTTCGTTACGGCCATGACAAGCTATCCTCTTATATCCAGACGGATACACCGTGCAGTTGTGGGCAAAAATAAGCTCGTGGTTGACTGAGCTAACTTTTAAGGATGAAAGGTAAAGGGAGAGGTTGCTTTGAGGAGCAAAGCAGACTTTGCGGCCGGCGATACTCGGGCGAGCAAGTATAAGAGTTTGGTTTTCATAGGAGATGTTGAGGACGATGTAACTTTCTTGTGCCACTTGAATTGAGGCGTTCTTCTTCTCGTCGCAGCGGAGCTCGAAAGCAGGGAAGCCGCAGTAGTCTGGCTGCTGGTCACGGATCCAGAAAGGATAGGAGACTTTGGTGAGATTGCCGCAGCTCTTGGGCTCGCAACTCTGTGGATTATAGTTGGTTGCTAGAACTATAATCAACAGAGAAAAAAGGGGGTGGAGGAATAATAGAAGCATTATATTTGGATTCATTTTGAAAAAAGAAGGATTTATGCGGAGGCTGGAATTTGGAGAAGATGAAGTAAAGGTGAAGTGAGGAAAAAAAAAAGGGCTTAGTCTGCTATTAGGGGAAGATTTGACTTGTTGACTTTATGGTTGTCGTTTTGAAGAAAGTCTAATTAACATTGCTTGATAATTTTTAGGAAAATTTGCATACGTATCTATAATTTTTATATATTTACATGTGGAACAATTATACTTCAATTTTTATATACAGTTCATCATGAAAATTATATTTAAATTTTCAAAATTAAAATGATGATATTATTTTATGTGATATGAAAGATTTGATTTGGTAGATAGAAATATTAAAGAATTAGGTGATATATGTGTAAATGCCTCTAATTTATATGACTTAATAGCTTTTAAATATATTTAAAACTTGATATCAGCGCCGCTTAGGATATCACATTAGTGTTGTGAATTAGCCAAAAGAATGTTTTCTTTTTTAAGAAAACATTCAATAATAAATGTTATTTAAATATTTTTTAAGAAATAATTAGTTTAAAAAATTGTTAAATTTCCTAAAAATATAATTAATATTTTTCCAAAAATTAACAAAATAGCAAAATTTTAACTATGGCTTTTAAATTTATTGTTAAATTCATATTTGTCATATTTTTCAGACTCATTTTATATATTGAAAAAAGTTGTTACAAGAGAATCAGAGAGTGATGCCTATATAGCCGAAGTGCTCAAATGGTCTCTGTTCCTCGAAAAAAATCCTCCTATTCATAGATGATATGAGAATAAAAGTGTAAAAATTATATCATTGCTCCTATGAGTTACAACTTATTATTATCTTCATTGGCATAATTTTGTTGTCTGACACATTTTCTTATGTTTAAAACATTTTCACATGTCTGGCTCCTTTTCGTATCTCTAGCAACTTTTCATTCGTCTACCAGTCTTTCATGTGTCTAGCACCCTCTCGTATGTCCAACACATTTTTATATGTCTGGTACCTTTTCGTATAGTTGGCACCTTTCATATGGCTGGTACATTTTTGTCTATATGACACATTTTCATTTGTTAGCACCTTTTAGTACATCCGTAACATTTTCATGTCTCGCACTTTTTTATACATGACACATTTTCATATGTCTGACACATTTTCGTGATGAGCTCATTTGGCAAAATGGTTAGTTGGTTGGTTGGGGTGGCCGACCGAATGAGGTGGTCGGTCAGTCTCTGCTATCGTCGACTCTCATCAAAATTTGTGCAGGCATATTTTGTACGTACATAAATGCCCCTAAGTCTCCTACTTCTTAGAAGTGAACAAGAAATAAGAATGTGAGATTTTAAATTTCAAAAATGTAATCACAATAATATAATAATTATACTCGTTTAATTTCAGCGTCAATTTGTTCGTGTTTTCTCTAACTCTAAGTTGCTCTTCTGAGGCTTTCTCGGGTCGATTTTTTATCTGTGTCGTTGTCCAGCTAGCTGAACTTCAGCTTGTTGAGGTTACCTTTGGTCAGTCTTATTGGATTCATCTGTCACATAGTTAATATTGTTTTTCTGTTCCTTCTATTTTTAAGAAAAAAAAATAAAAAATGTTTTGTAGCCTTCTCAAATATGCAAATTGAGTGAGTTTCTGTTATTTTTCACCTTCATTTTAGCATTTTATCTCTACTGGATTATTTATTTACGATAATTGCTCGGTGATGAATATTTTCATAGGTTGATTTGTTTGCCCTGGAGAGGAGTCTTTGATTTGTTCTTCCCAGATGAGAGTATTTGATTTGCTCACACCGGATGAGAGACTTTGATTTGTTTGGTCAGTTTGAATTTCTTGAGTGTCACCTTGATGCAGATCCCTATGAACACTTTGAGTTCTCAAGTCTCTACCTGACCTAGAAAATTATAATTAGAAGAGTTTATATATAGTTGTTTTAAAGAAAAAAATAATAATATATCATTGTTGGATATTTCGATTGCCTAGAATTTTTGGTCACTTGGACATTTCGTTCGTCTGAATGTTGACAATATGAAATTTTTTCGATCACCTAGATTTTTTAGATGTCTTAATTTTTTGGTTGCCTGGATATTTTGACCTTCTATATTTTGACCATCTGAATTTTTTGGACTAATGGGATTTCCAGCCGAATGGGTTTTCTTTGATGCCATAACCAAGGATAGAATGGTGCGGCAGTTGGCCAGTAAGGTGGCCAGCTGGATTTAACTTAACTTTTGCTAGATAGTGAGTTTAGACAAAATAAAGCCACGTAATTGATATATCTTTCTCCATCATTTCGAGACGGAGTAGTTTGAGTCGATCGGTCAGGATTGTGGTGACCAGCCAACGAGAATCGAAGAGAAGGCTGGCGGTGGATGGCAGGAGGTTGGTGATCCGTATGACGAAAAGGGAAGGAAATGTGTGTCAGTCGAAGCAGTCTTCGTGCGAGAATAGGAGCCATGCAAGGCTCTTCTGTGCGAAGAATGGAAAAGGGCCGGTGAAGTTTCAGCTAGCTGGTGGGAATTGAAAAAGAATGTCATCAGTGGTTGACCAGAGGTTGGTGGTTTGAGTGCCCGAGAAGAAGGAAAAGCAAGTCAGTCAGAGCAATCTTTGCACTATAATAGGAGCCGTGCAAGGATCTTCTTTGTGAAGGATAGAGGGAGACAAGGGAAGTTTAGTCAGTTAGTGAGAAAAAGGGAGAGAATGTCGGCAGTGATCAGTCGGAGACAAGTGGTCTGCAGAAGGTTGGTGGTCTGTGGGACCAAGGAGGAGGAAAAACCAGTCAGTTGGAGTGGTCTTCGCACGATAATAGGGGTTGTGTTGGGATCTTCTATGTGACGGATGGAGGGAGGATGATGAAGTGTCGGTCAATCAGTTGGAATCGAGAGAGAATGTCGACGGTGGTTGGTGATCCCTGGATACTGCTAATATGCACAGTACAACAATAATTCAGATTATAGTTCACTTATATTTTCTTACTTTGTAACAAAACAAAAAACTTGATCCTAAAGACAAATAAGAATTTAACTTTTAATTTATATATATTGGGATACTACGCAAGTATATGTATCTTTATCAAGTAATATAGGACTTTTGTATTAAGACCTGAATATCGAACCCACAGGGAGAATACACAATATGCACTATTGAACAACAAACTTTCTATTTTTAATAAAAAGTTAATTATCTAAACTAAAGATGATTTTTGCAGTAATGAAAATTTAAATATTTTTGGTATTTTCAATATTTTGATAGAACAATAACAATTTAAAAAGACTAGAGTTTTTGTAGAAGAAAAACACTAAATATGAAAATATCTTTCTTCTTGTTATGAATCAATAATAAGTATAGGAATTCTGTTACGAAAGTATGCAAATTGTGTTGTGTCAAATAGAAGCAATGATATTATTTACTCTTACTAGAGATGCTATAAAAAAATATTGATTAATTTAAAGTTTGAATAGTTCTGAAGACCGGCTAGGCAGGGAAGATACTAGCTCTCACTCTAGAGTTTCCTCGATTCCCTCCACCTAAGGGCTAACATTCTCGTATCAGAACCTAAAA